ATATATTTTTTTTATATTTCTTGAAAATAATGCTTTAATGAATGATTTGCCCGCTAGAACCTTATAATCCCAAGCTGAAAATGACTTTTCAGAATGAGGTTCTATCTGCATTTACTGTTTTTTTTTACTTTTAATTTTTTTTTGTTCCAATTTGCACATTTAAGAGAACTTTGATAATTTACATTTAGAGAACCCTTTATCTGTCATGTTAATGTATGAAAGAGAACTGATACACACATATTGTTTGCTTATATGGCTTGCAAAAACTTTGAAGCTCAATATCTCAAAATCATTCAAAACGCAGATAGAACCTTATAATTCTAAGGTGACTATTTGTTCTTTATATCAGAAATAGGCTATAATGTTTAAGCGGGCCTAAATGCATCTGCCAAATATCCTACTCAGTGATGCTGAACTGTTTGCCTTCTTTAAGACTTTCTGTTGTATCAATTAGGCTACAACTGCATGAAATGATATAAAAGAGAAGTGCGTTTTGGTAATGTGCACTGAGACGTGTGATGCGCACAGAAATCTGTGCTCTATTTCGAATTAGCTTCTCTTTCATCTAATGCAACTTGAATGGTTTAAAACTAAAAACTATTACAATTGAATATTTTTATTACAATGGTAAAGAAACCTGGCTTGCAAAAACGTTTTAAAGCTCACAGGAACATTGTATGTATAGTGCTTTCTCAATTATGAAAGCATCTCTAAAAAGTTGTTATCTGATGTGGGGCCAGAGTAGGCCATGTGATTTTAATTTTATTTATTTATTTTTTTATAAATTTGCAACAATTTCAAAAATATATATTTTTCACATTGTCATTATGGGGTATTGTGTGTAGAATTTGAGGAAATAAACATATTTAATTTATTCTGGAATAAGGCTGTAACATAAAAAAAATGTGGGAAAGTTAAATCGCTATGAAAACTTTCCGGGTGCACTGTACATCAAAACTTTCAGTTCTTTACAGAGCATTAGAAAAGGTTGTATTTATTAAACTGCAGTCTTTTTTAAATCTACATGGGTTTCAAGAAGTGTTCCAGTCTGCACAGCAAATTCATTGGTGTTAAATTTCAAGTGTTGTGGTAATTCAGAGTAAAGTGTTAAAATTCTAGAGTTAGATAAAGGTAAAATAACCCTCTCGGCGTTAGAAGCTGATTTGCCTCCTTGTCATTCAGAGTAACATGTATCTACCTTTGTAGAAAACCCCTGTTTTTAAGAAACTAATCAGAGTGTCTGATCTCGCCACACCCTCATTCACCTGGCCCTTAAATTGGTCAATTAGTTTAGTCCACTAGACAGAGTGAATGACCACAAATAAGTGAATTCAGACACCTGCTGTTGAACACCTGCTGTTAACAAGCACAATCACTGAAGGAATAAGAAATTGAAGGAAAAAAATAAAACTACAGACACAGCCTCACACCAAACCAACTGCATTAAAACAGAGGATTAAACAACTCCATTAAATAATAGTATAAGCAGCTTCACTGATTTTCTGTAAGAATATTTGACAGTGAACAGAGGTTTATATTTTTTTATTAAAAATATTTCATTTGACCTCACCATCATAGAGATCAGAGGCTGCTTATTTGAGCTCTTGAAGCTTTACTCTTACATCCTAAAGTTTCTCTGACAGTTATAACTGTGTTTCTTAAACTCATCAGTTAGAGCTAGAAAGATCAAGAGAAACTATACTGTTTATGCTTAATTGTTATAGATAAAGTTTCAGGTACCCAAGTTGATTCAAAAAAATATGCAAATATAGTTGTATTAAACAGCATTGGACAATACTACTGGCAGTCTGCTGCTCTTCATAGAAGATTCAACAAACAATTAGGATGCAATTAATAATTAGAGTGTCATGCACTAAACAGTCAAGCTCTTTATGACACACAGGCATCAAGAATCAGGATATGAACCTCAACCGTGGTTGCTAAAAAAAAGAAGCTGCATAGTTCATGCCACAATGCATGCTGGGTGCCAGCATAGTACAAAGCTCCCAGCATGCATTGCAGCATGAATAAATTATGCAGCTTTATGTTCTTACAATCTCTTTTCCTTTATTTTGTGTTGTTTTTGGGAGGTGATATTTCAGTAGTGTTTTTTTAATTGATTTTTTTTTTTTCGTTTCTCACCATCATTGAGATTCAAAGACTAATTGTTGATGTTTGGGTGTTTTTCAGTTCTGCTGTAGATCAAACATTCTTATTGTAAATCGTGTTTTTAAACCTGTTATAAAGTCATTAATTATTGGAGCTTCTGTGGTTTCATTATGTATTTTATTCATTCCTCACACAATATGATACTGAATTATAAAACAAGCAGGAAAGGATGGCTATGATATCATAAATAATCTCTTCAGACTGACACTTAATTTTCTTTTGGCTTTCCATGCTATATGTATAACTAGTAGGGATGTAACGGTATTGTAAATACCGTCATACAGCAATATTAATTTTTTTCGATATTACCGAAGTCGCATGACTCGGTAAAACTATAGGTCTTCTGAGAAAATTCGCTCAGGCGAATGAAGCAAACGGGAGGTAGCTGAAACTTCATTTCCCATCAGCCCCGGCGTGGCCATAATCCTTTGCGGTCTGTTGTCGCTACAGATCCAGTAATGCGGAAATGGAGTGTGCTGCTAGTAGCGGAGATGAAAAAAAGATGGAAATGATCGAACCTAAAGCGGGTGTTGTCGCCGCGCGCGTGCTGAATAGCGGTGCTGTCGCGCGCGTTCTGATCAGCTGTGTTGTGGCGCGCGTATTGAAAAAGCGCCGAGGGGGGGTTGAGCGCGCATACTCAAGAGAGGTGTTATCGCGCGCCTACTGAAGGGCTGGACTGGACGGAGGTTGTGTCGCGTCGCGGGGGGCACTTTTGATCATTTTGGAAGGGCACTTTCTATCCAAGACTAAAAAGGGCATGTGCACTGCACAGGTTGAGCCCTATGTGTGCACGTGCCTGCAAGTTGGGGAATACGACTAATAACAGTCATGGGGACTGCAGAAACACAGCACACTGTTCATATTGATGCAGACATTGACTTGTACCGCAAAGAGACCTCTATCTCACTCATGGTTTGTCTTCTCAAGTGGGGGAAAGACAATGCACAATGTTACCCCACTGCTGTCAACATGGACCAAGTCATATCTCTCTTGTCCCAGAAACCTCAGTCCCAAATGAGAGGGGTTTTTTCTGTTGCAGGGGACATTGTAAATGCCCAGAGATACCAGCTTTTACCAGATTATAATTATATGATAATTTTCCTTAAAACCCATCTCTATCTAAGTGAGTGATTAAATGTTGAATGTGATGAGTTTTCAACAATACTAAATTGAAACTATTGTTTTTACATGGTTTAATAATTTTTTGTTATTAAAATTGAAGTTCCTGTTTCAAAGCTAACAGATAGATGACTAATTTGTATGTCATTGACACTTTTGGCACTTTTTTGGAGTATTTTCAAAAGTTTTTTTTTTCCTGTAAATGATTCAATAAATACCGTACCGTGACATTCATACCGAGGTATTACCGTACCGTGAAATTCTGATAGCGTTACATCCCTAATAACTAGTGTAATTAACACTAACTAATGCAGTCAAAAAAAAAAGACATTTACAGTAAGAAGTTGAAGAGCCTGACTAAAGCAGACTCTGTCCTTCATCATGGTGACTTTAAATAAACAACAGAAATTTCATTAAGAGCTTTTGTTCACATGACAGAAATAAAGTCAAAGGTCAGTAATAGGTGAAGCTCCATGATAAGTTGTTTATTTGATGAGTTTTTTTTAAAGATGTTGAAAAATAACATTTTTTATTGTGTAATTTGTTTTATTTTTATTGATTATTATTTTATTTAGAGTTTTTTTTTCTCAGTTGATTTCATCTTTGGTTTTAGTTTGTGTTTTTCTTTCCTTAAGTGATTCTGCCTGTTAACAGTTGTTCATCAATAATTCTCAATCCTCCTTTAATTAGACACTTAATTGTCTCATTAACTTCATCACTGTCTGAGTGTTCAGCCCTCTGTAGTGAGGACACTAGTTAGGATTTTGCTCTGGAATTTAAGGCTTACGTGTGTTCGAATGAAACATACAGACTATGGGATGTTTTTAACAGAAATATTCTGGAAACTGAATTTACGAATGTAAAATGTTAAAAACAGCAGATTACTGGCAACCACTGCTGCCAGTATTTTGACATACATTTAACAGATATTTTACACAATAAGAGTTTGTTAATTAACACTCTGGGTGTTAAAAATTTTAACACTTTCAAAAATGTTATTTTAACACTTATAGTGGTTCCCATATAAACACTGAGGGAGTGTTAATTTTAACTCTAAGGTAGTTAAATCTACCAAATCTAAAATTTGCAGTGTGAGATCGATAAAAAATACAGACTGTTGAATGTGTTTTTAACATAAATATTCTGTAAACTGAATTTATGAATGTTAAAAACAGCAGATTACTGGCAACCACAGCTGCTGGTATTTTTACGTAAAATCTAAAAATAAAAAAAGAAAAAAGAAAAACAGCTAAACAGTTTTTGTGTTCCCATTGTGGAGAATAATAGCGTCTCTGTTCAAGTCCAAGATGAACTGAGAGTATTTGATGTTATGCTGCATCTTCTTTTGTTTAAAGGTAGCTGTGTAGTTACTAATGCAGTCAAAATCTGTTTGCTAATTGCAATCACACATGAAAACATTATTGCATCTAAAGACTTTACATTTTTGTGCACTAAGCTATAATTTTGTAAACTGAACATTGTGTTAGTTTATGAAATATGATTATTTTTTGTAAATTTATACAGTTATATAAAACTTCCATGTTTTTCACAGAAAGATTCTGGCAACCACAGCTGCTGGTATTTTTTCGGAAATTTTACAGATATTTTACACAATAAGAGTTTGCTAATTAACACTCTCTTGGTGTTGACAATGTTAACACTTTCAAAAGTGTTATTTTTAACACTTATAGTGGTTCCCATATAAACTCTGAGGGAGTGTTAATTTTAACTCTAAGGTAGTTAAATCTACTATCTAAAATTTGCTGTGTGGTTGTGGCAGTAATGCACCTTCCAAGTTGAGTTCCTGACAGGCAATAAATCAGGAAGAAGAAGAAAGGGAAGAAGAACTGAAAGAGTCAAAGAGCTCAGATTGTGTTTCTTCTGGACAAGAGTGTCTGCACTTTTGCATGTAAGTTTGATACTTCTACCATTACGCTTATTTGTGGAAATGATGAAGGGATTTTAAACGTGTAAGTGTGATTTGATTTAAATGTTTGTCTGATGCTGATGCTCAAACACTGTCTCAAAGCCTCAAACACTGTTTAATCATGGTGTAAAAACACGGTAATTTCAACACTGTGTCTGAACACTTTATTTCTTAATGTTATGAAAGTGTTTTTAATCATTAATATCATGTTCACTCCATAAATCAGCACAAAATATAACTTTAAATCAACATTTATGAAATTGAAAGAAAAGTTCAACCAGCCCTAACAGTTAAACAGGAAGAAAAACTGCTGATGTTCCTTAAAATGTATTTAACTCTTTAATGTCAGTAGACATTTTTACTACCAACTGACAAACTAAATATATAAATGAGTAATTGGCTTAACCTGATCTTATCTTAATAAACTACATATCATACATCAAATGTGAAATATGAGGTGTCAGAGTTCTTTATAGATCCGTGTAACGCTTTGCAGTGCTTTGTTTAATTCACATGGTCAAAATTAAACAAATGAAAAATGCATCTCAAACTTTCATTTTCCATTTTTTCTGAGTACTTCAACATGGATAATTGTCACTCGGTTTAATTTTTAATTCCACAAGTTTGTGTTGTTGCATTTGAATCTGATCTCAGAACAAACTTTAAATAATGACACATTATTGTGATTTTCCATTTTACTTTTCTGCTCTCGTAGACGGGCCATACCATTGCCGTTGGAAGGGTATGGACTTCTGGATTAGTGCGCAAACCAGCAGATACCATAGTAAAATAACACACTGTCGTGTTATTTTTTAGATTCAAGCTTTTGCATTGATTTTGTGTGTAATCTACTCGCGCGAATACTTAATTCATGCTGATAGTGTAAATCCAGCATAAGACCAGTCACCAGCAGAAAAAGAATCAATCTGACAATGAAATATGATGACATTTCTAATGTCACTCATACACACATAACATGTAGCAGGGTGTCCGCGGGGTCTTAAAAAGTATTGAAAGTTAATCAATTTAGAGGAATTTAAGTGCCTTAAAAGTACTATATATGCTATTTTGCAAGGTATTACATTTTGTATAATTTTGAATGATGTAATGGATGGTTGTATGGGAGTGACTGAACTTAATCTGCGAATATTAAGATGTATTTAATGAGATAGATAAAATAATCCTGCTGCTGTTTTCACTCTTCTCTGCTTTGTTTAGAGTGTTTGTGATGGATGTTTTTCACTGAACTCATGATGTACAGCTTCCTTTAGAAACGAAAGTGATAGTGCTGAGTTGTTGTGTCTCCATTTTAAACATAATCCATCATTTACAACGCAGAACAGCTTTAAATCTTTAATGTCTTGGAAAAAACATGTAAGGTTTAATAAACTGAATGAATGATTATATTTTAATCCTAATCAAATAGAGGATGGCTGTGATTCTTCATTTGTTTACTAGCGATGAAAATAGAGGTAAAGTTGGTTTTATATTCACACATTCGTTCATTTAGAAGTCTCTATATTGTTTACCATGTTACTTTGAATATTCGATCTGAATTAGCATGCAAGTATGACTTGAAAACAACATTAACACTGTTAATTTGACTGTGAACAATGTTGTACTTTGATAGTCATTGGCTGCTAATATGAATTCACTATTTAGAGTTTAGAAATAATACTTTTTATGAAATTATATTATTAAGGGGAAAGTCGGAATGTGTGAATATAAAACCAACTTTACCTCTATGTGATTGACTTCTGGATTTCAGTGATTTGAGTGTCTCAGCTGCTGATCTTTGAATTATGAAGGCTGAATTATGAAGGCTGATCAATGACTGAAGTCTCTATATTGTTTACCATGTTACTTTAAATATTCGATCGGAATTAGCATGCAAGTGTGACTTGAAAACAACATTAACACTGTTTATTTCACTGTGAACAATGTTGTACTTTGATAGTCATTGAGTGCTAATATGATTTCGCTATTTAGAGTTTGCAAATACTTTTATGAAATTATATTATTAAGGGGAAAGTCTGAATGTGCGATTATGAAACCAACTTTACCTCTATACTGGACATTTGTTATTGTTCTTCACCTTCTTCTAGGGTTTCTGCTGGAGATCAAACTCTTCAGATCCATGATGGAGAACAAATACACTTCTAGAGATCAGGATTTGTTTACAGGATGCAGGTATTAAACCTACACTTGACATTCTATATTATTATTTTTTACAAGATATTATATTTACTCTCTGTTGTGCTTTTAATCGATCAGAATATTTAACACACACAAGTTTTTCTACAATAGTTATGAAAAGTTTCATTAAGTGCTGTTTAAACAGTGTTTTAAAGGGTCACGAAACACCAAAACACATTTTTTGAGCTGTTGACAGTCGTGTATGTGTCCCACACTGCTAAAAACACTATTAGGACACCTATATTTCACTAAAAAGTGTAAATTGGTTGTTTTTGCGTTATTTCAAGCAAATTTGTACTTCCTGTTTGAAACGAATTTTTGAAGCTGCGTCACGGTCATGACATAATAGCGTGTATTCCAGCGTGCAGACTGGGTGTCTGTGCCAGAGTGAGTCTTATTACGTCTTACTGTGTGTTGCATTAATGCATGAGTAAGGCTTGGGTCAAACCAATCAGCACGCTCTATTGTGCAACTTCATCAATATTCATTATTGTCACCGTGTTTACACCACAAAGACGCCACGTTGTGTTGGCAAAACAAGCGTGAAGTGTTGCTTTTATAGTTTGCTGCCATTAAGTTTCATTTTCATTTTCTCTCTGTGAGAGCTCATCTGGATCACGTGTGGATTAACAGTGTACGCGACGCTCGACAACAATAACTTACGTGTCTAAGGAGGATTATTGTTTACCTGAGAGCTGTTCTCATCTGCAAACGCTGAGATCCAGATTCGCTTGTAGTATTCTTTTCATAAAGACGCGGCTCTAGTTGCTGGTGATTGTCCTGTCTCTACAGATTTGGTAAGTGAGCGACCAGTGCTCTTTGTTTATTCAGTTTGTTCGTATCAAATTAAGTTAACTATTGCACTGAGTGCAGAAATGTTAGCACCGCATTTTGTTAGCACCGCATCTCGTTTGTCGCGAGGGGCATGAATGAATTCCCTGAATGAAAGAGCCAAACTGCAGTTAAAGTCCACCATTTAATATTTTGGCAAATAATTCGACTACAGATGTCCATGTAGGTTAAACACCATCACTTTCTCATGTGTGTGTATTTTGACTGAAACTCGCGCGTGCCCAAATAGACACTCCCACACCATCCCACTTTAGTTCCTCCGACACTCCCCCCTAAACAGAGCTGGACACGCCCACTTTTCTGACTTTTTCCAAAGTAGAGGTGTGAAAACACCCTGCTGAAATGAGGGGGTTTCATGGCCCTTTAATGATAAATGTTGAGTAAATCTGCTGTGTTGACCCCAGTGTGTGCAGCGCTTAACTTTAATCTTCTCTGTTTTAGTTCAGTTCATCAGAAGAGAGCAGAAGCAGAGTCCAGCTGTGTGTCTATGAAGAGTGACTGGTCTATGGAGCAACCAATAAAATTCAAGAGTGGAAACACAGGACCTGCTGTCAGGTAGATCATCTCTTTAATATCTGCAACTGATGAGTATTTTTATAATAAATGAATCAAGTAATTAGTGTTGTGGATCTGTTGGGTTTCAGATGTTAGATGTTGTATCTGAGCTCTGCAGGATAGTGCTTGAAGATCTCCGCTTTACACTTCAGGCCACAATTGATGGTGTTAACAAACCAATCAGCGCTTTATTAATAGTTAGTGAGGTAGAAGGTGGGTTTAGGTTTTGGGTAGGGTTGGGGATACACAATATGATCATACTGTATGACTACTAATGAGCAGTTCATATGTTCACATTACACAGATAATAAGCCGGTAGTTAATAGTATGAATTGTGAGCTAAACTAAAGTGTTCCCAATCTCCTGCCATAAAGGGCTTTTCCTGCACACTTTCCCCTGCTGTTTCTGTGCTGTACTGATCAGCCATTCCTCTGATCTAAGTCTGTTTTCTCTGAAGCGCAGTCATCATCATGTTGTGTTGGCCTTATAGATGCTGCTAATCAACATATTTGGTTTTCTATAATTGATATTTCTCGAGTTCCCCTTCGGTTGGGGAACTTCAGTGCCATAGAGTGGATTGATTGAAATCCACGAAATGGGGGGATTCGGTTTAGAAGCCACTTGTCTGAAAAAGTATTGAACGGGCCAATGAATGCAATGAATTGGCAGCGTAAGTTTGCACAGGTGTACTTCATTGCCAATTATCCCAGCATAGAAGCACACCTGGAGCGAGCAAACGCCATCCTTTTCGCTTCAGAGACTTTCTGATCGAGTCGATGAGGGTTCCTCCTGCTGTGACCAGCGATTCTGAGCGAACGAGAGCATTCTCCCGGTCCAGAGTGTGTACACGCAGCGGCAGACGGTCGAGCTGGGTTTCTCCCTTGCCTGGCGTTCTTTGGGTCCGGTCCTCCAGAGCGGTGCGCATAAAGTTGCAAACTTCACAGAAAGAGCAACACAGTCGTGCAGCACGTCCTTTTCAGGACGGCGCTCCGACTGTGCGTTTTTGGATGCGGTGGTTTCCTGTCCTCGGATGATGGGCACGGGCACTGCGTTACATGTCTGGGGGGTCCAGCATGTTAATGCGCTGCTCGCGGGCAGTTCATGTCGTCATTGCGATGCCATGACTGTTGCGCAGTAAAGATCGCCGCTAGCCTTTGCAAAAGGGCGAACCACCCCAGTTGTCCCCTGCTCTGCAGCGGGCACTCGGGCAGATCTGAGGGTTTCAGCGAGAGATAATCCGTCGCCCACGGGCCTGCGGACCTCCCGCTCCTCTAAGCGCTCCATCCAAGCTTCGGGCGGGGGAAGCGATCCGTCTAACAGATGGTAGCCCTTACGCCCGATGACACCGGAGACCAGACGTCCACCGCGGCATCGGAGGGTGGGCTTTCATTGTCCGATGATGATCCAGACCCGCTCGCCCCCTTCGGGCTGATGAGCGCTGTCACTACGAATCCTGAAACGGACATGTTAGCCGTGCTTTCCCGGGCTGCTTCGGCCGTGGGTTGGAGATGGTTTATCCCCCAGCTCCGCGGCCGGACCGACTAGAGGGGCGTTCCCTTCTTCCCGGAGGTGCACAGTAGGCTCACGCGGTCTTGAAAAGCTGCGTGTGCGTTGGGGAGGACGATGTCCACATTAGTGATCCAGGAGCGCCACCCCTGGCTGATATGCGCGAAGTCGACAAAGTCTGCTTTCTTGACTTTCCCCATATCCCAAGCCATGTTCGGCGACACCGTCTGAATTCACCCAGGAATTCAAGGCGGTGAGAGAGCAGTTGATGGGTGATGTCTTACCGGCGGTCCCTAGCCCGCTCCGCCCGCCGTGCCATCCATACCTGCTCCTCGCCGAAGGCGCCCGCCTACGAGAGCTGCTCCGCCCCCGCACACGCCTCTGGCGAAGCGTGCACGTCGGGCACCTCGGAAGCAGGCAGCCCCCCTGCCCAGAACGCCGCTAAGTCTGGCAACGGACCGCGAAGCGTCCCTGGGACAGGCCATCTGGAGAAGAGGGAACTTGCTCTTTCCCCGCTGGAGGGCGGGGCCCCATTTCCAACGGCACTTTTTTACTGCCATGAAAACATTATGAAAGGGCACTTTTCCACTTCCCCAGATGTGACAGCTTGAAATCTGCCAGTCTGGGACACTATGCTTTCTAGCTTGCAGATTCGGTGCGTTTCGCCAGTGGCTCACGAGCGCTGGGAGGACGGTCTCCTTTCTCCCACCCCTCGAGCCTCCCCTCCGGAGCTCGGGTGCGGAGTGAGAGCAAATATCTCACCTCAAGCTCCAGCTGCCCCACTGCTGGTACGTCAGCGATTGTAGCGATGAGTCCATTAGCGAGAGCTCTGCCTGCCTGGTTTGCGCGGGCCAGCTCTTCGCGGTGGCTCATACGCACAATCAGACTCGGCTATGCGATTCAGTTGGCGAAACGGCCCCCCAAGTCACGGGTGTGTATTCACCAGGGTCAGCCCCCTGTCCGCCCCTGTCTTGCGAGAGGAGATTGCTGTCCTCCTGGCGAAGGATGCAATCGAGCCGCTCCCTCCAGCCGAGATGGAGAGCGGGTTTTACAGCCCACACTTCATCGTGCCCAAAAAGAGCGGTGGGTCACAGCCAATCCTAGATCTGCGCGTTTTGAACCGCTGTCTGCACAAGCTGCCGTTCAGAATGCTCACGCAGAAGCGCATCCTCCGATGCATTCGTCCTCTGGGTTGGTCTGCAGCATTAGACCTGATAAATGCGTATTTCCATGTCTCCACTCTTCCTCGCCACCGTCAGTTTCTGCGGTTTGCGCTTGAAGGTCGAGCTTGGCAGTACAAAGCCCTCCCCTTCGGGCTCTCTCTGTCTCCGCGGGTCCTCACCAAGCCCGCGGAGGGTGCCTTAGCGCCCCTTTGGCTCGCGGGCATCTGCATACTCAATTTCTTGACGACTGGCTGATTTTTGCCCTCTCTCGGAGCAATTGACTATGCACAGAGACAAAGTGCTCCGGCACTTCCACCTGTTGGGGTTTCAGGTCAACCGAAAAAAGAGCAAACTCGCAACCGTGCAGAGGATCTCTTCTCTCGGGCTGGAGCTGGACTCGGTCACCATGGCAGCGCGCCTCTCCGGAGAGCACGCTCAGCTGATGCTGTACTGTCTGAGAGAGCTCGACAGTAAAATAGTGGTCCCACTGAAACTATTTCAGAGGCTCCTGGGGCATATGGCATCCGCAGCCGATTCATGCCGCTCGGATTACTCTATATGAGACCACTTCAGCACTGGCTTCATGATCGAGTCCCCAGACGCGCATGGCAAGCGCGCACACCGAGTCTCTGTTACTGCGATGTGTCGCCGCGCCCTCAGCCCTTGGAGCAACCCCTCGTTCCTACAGGCCTGGTGTCTCTAGAACAGGCGTCCAGTCTTGTTGTCGTTTCAGCAGACGCTTCCAACACGGGCTGGGGGGCTGTGCGTTGCGGGCATGCGGCTGCGGACCTGTGGAAAGGTACCCAGTTGCATTGGCATATCGCCTGGAGCTGTTGGCAGTGTTCCTCGCTCTCCACCGTTTTTTTTCCGGTGCTGGAGCGGCAACACATGCTGGTCAGGACGGACAGTACGGCGGCG